TTCACCTCCCCGAAGAATTAATCAAGTGAGTGAGGCACGACCTCCCCTGCACAAAAGCGTGCTGTCTATCACTAATAAATCAATTTGCTTCTAAATGCATATAAATCTTGCCCCTGAGAATCTTTTCCAATAATTTTCCTACTTCCGACATGAGACTCATAGGCCTGTAATTTCTGGATTATCCCTGCTACCTTTCTTAAACAATGGGACAACATTGGCTATTCTCCAGTCCTCTGGGACCTCACCTGTGGCCAAAGAGGATACAAAGACGTCTGTCAGTGTTCCAGCAATTTGTTATCTTTCCTCCTTCAATATTCTGGAATAGATCCCATCAGAATCCAGAGACTCACCTACCTTAATACTTTTTATGACACACAACACCTCTTCCTTTTCAATAGTAGCTTGGCTTAGAAATTCAAAAATCCCTTCCCTGAGATTATCCTCCAACAATTCCTTCTCTTTGGTGAATACTGACACAAAGTAGTAGTTTAGGATCTCACCTACCACTTCTGGCTCCACACATAGATTCCCTCGTTTGTCTTTGAGTGAGCCAACTCTTTCCTTGGTTACGCTCTTGCTTTTTATGCATTTATAAAAAACTTTGGGATTCTCCTTAATCCTGTTTGCAAATAATTTTCTATGACCCCCTTTAGCTCTTCTAATTCCTTGTTTAAGTTCTTTCCTAATTTCTTTGTATACTTCAAGGGCTTCTTCAGTTCTCACCCTCCTTGAGCTTACCTATACTTCTTTCCTCTTTTGGCCAAGGACTGGGGGTGGGGTGTGGGGTTTAACCTACTGTGGCAGGGTGATGGGAACTAGGGGAGTAGGGTAGTAGATGCAGAAATTGAAGGGGAGGAAGAAACCAAGGCAAACATGACTAACAACCAGAACAGGCGGGGAAACACTCCTGAAAAGAGCAGAGCAGATGGCCTGAAATGCATGTGTTTCAATGTGAGAAGTATAATAGGCAAGGTAGACGAACTTAAGAGCTTTGGTTAATACTTGGAACTATAACATTATTGTGATTATGGAGACTTGGCTGAAAGAGGGATGGGACTGGCAGCTGAATGTCCCAGGATTTAGATGTTTTTGATATGATAGAAGGGGATGTAAATAGGATGGGGAAATTTCAACACTGGTAAAGGAGTATCTCACAGCTGTACTAAGGGAGGACACATCAGAGGATTCATACAGCGAGACAATATGGGTAGAACTCAGGAATCACAGTGCTGGAGGTATAATACAGGCCTCCCAACAACCAGCGGTAGATAGTAGAGAGAATAGTACACAGACTTTGGAAAGATGTGAAAACAGCAGGGTTATTGTGGTCGGTGCTTTTAACTTCCCCTATATTGACTGGGACTCACTTCGAGCTAGGGACTTGGCAGGGGCGGAATTTGTAAGGACCATTCAGGAGTGTTTCTTGGCATAGTATGTAAACAGTCCAACCAGGGAAGGAGTTATACTGGACATGGCTTTGGGAAATGAACCTGGCCAAGTGAGTAAAGTTGCAGTGGGGGAGCATTTCGGGAGTAGTGACCATAATACCGTGAGTTTTAAGATACTCATGGATAGGGATGACAGCAGTTCTCGGGTGAAGGTGTTAAACTGGGGGAAGGTGAACTACAACAATATTAGGCAAGAACTGGAGACTTTTAACTGGAGGCAGCTGTTTTAGTGTAAATCCACATTGGACATGTGGGAATATTTCAAACAGCAGTTGATAAGAGTTCAGGAATGGCACATTCCTGCAAGAATGAAGGATAAGTATAGTAACTTACATGAACCTTGGATGACCAGGGATGTTATGAACTTGGTCAAAAAAAGAAGAAAGAGAGAGAGATGCTGATTGCTGGAGATATGAGCCATAGAGAGAAACAGAGAGGTAGCTAGCTGCAAATGTAAGCCACAGAGAGAGAGAGAGAAAGACTGACTGGTGGAGAGTTATGCCATAGACAGAGAGAGTCTGATAGGTGGAGAGTTGAGACACAGAGAGTGAGAAGAAATGACTAAATGTTAGGGAGATGAGACAGGGAGACAGTCTGTTAATTGGAGATTCATAGATTCATACAGCATAGAAAATGTCCTTCAGCCCAACGAGTCTGCACTGACTGAAAGCCTGCTAATTCAAAATTCTGCATTCATCCCATATCCTTGAATGTTATGACATTTGAATTGCTCATCCAAATATTTTTTAAAGGTTGTAAAGTTTACAGCCTCCACTACCTCCCCCACTACCCTCTGCAATGCATTCCAGATTCCAACCATCTGTTGAATGAAAAGGTTTTTTTCCCAAATGCCCTCTGAATCTCCTGCCCCTTACCCGAAAACTATCCCCTCTCGTGGTATACCTCTCATCCAAGGGGAACAGCTACTCTCACTGTTCACCCTGACTATACCCCTCATAATCTTATAAGCCTCAAACATGTCCCTCCTCAGCCTTCTCTGCTCTAGAGAAAACAATCCAATCCTATCTAGTCTCTCCGTATAGCTCAGTTTCTCCATCTCAGGCAACATCCTGGTGTACCTTCTCTGTACCCACTCTAATGCTATCACATCCTCCCTGTGATGAGGTGGCCACAGCTGCACACAGTACTCCAGCTACAGCCTGACCAACTCTTTGCACAACTCCAACATTACCTCCTTGCTCTTACACTCAATGCCATGATTATGATAGCAAGTGTGCTGAATGCCTTCTTAACTATCCTATTCATGTGCCTTGTTGACTTCAGGGGTCTATGAATAATTACCCCACAATCCCTCTGTTCCTCTAAGCTACCTAGTGTCCTGCCATTAATTAAGTACTCCTCATCTTGTTTCATCTTTCAAAACTGCATCACCTTGCGCTTCTCAATGCCATCTGCCAGTAGTCTGTCCATCTGACCAACACATCTATTGTCTTCCTGTAACCTACAATCATCTTCTTCGCTATTAACCACTCTACCAAGCTTGGTGTCATCTGCAGATTTGCTTAACATTTCCCCATATTTTCATCAATATCATTTATATATATAACAAACAATAAGGGTCCTAGGACTGATCCTTGTGGCACTCCGCTGGACACCAGCCTCCAGTCACTCAAACAACCTTCTACCACTACCCTTTGTGTCCTATTACTAAGCCAGTTTCTGACCCATCTGACCAGGTTTCCCACAATCCAATATGTTTTAACATTCTCAATTAGTCACTCATGTGGGACCTTGTCAAAAGTTTTGCTAAAATCCATATAAACTACATCAACTGAGCCACTCTCATCCACACACTTGATCACATTTTCAAAAAATTCTAATGAATTTGTTACACATGATCTTCTGACAGAGCCATGCTGACAATCCCTAATTAACCCTTCCCAAGTGATTATTAATTTGATCCTTCAGAATTTTCTCCAATAGTTTCCCTACCACTGATGTGAGCCTCACCGGTCTGTAATTTCCTAGTTCATCTCCACCACCCTTGAAAAGTGAAACTACATTAGCTGTCCTCCAGTCCTCTGGTACTTCCCGTGCAGCCAGAGAGGAATTAAAAATTTGTTTCGGAGACCCTGCCTTGCCTCTCAAAGCAGCCTAGGTTGCAATTCATCCAGGCTTGGGAATTGTCTGATTTTAAGCCTGACAGAACCTCCAAAACCTCCCCATTTCCTCTGTCAAACTGTGCAAATTTCTCACAGTCCATTTTCCTGAATTCCATCCCTATGTTCTCTTTTCAGAATGAAGACCAAAGACTTCACACCCTTCCAATATCCTGTAGCTTCACACACAGGTTTCCCCCTTAGTCCCTATTGGGCCTTACTCGTTCCCTGGTTAACCTCTTCCCTTTACTGTGCTTATATAATATCTTAGGGTTCTCCCTAATCCTGTTCACAAGTCTTTTATCATGCCCCTTTTTCATGGAGAGGTGAGCCATAGGTGGGGATGTACCTGATAGCTGGACAGGTGAATGATTACATATATGAGAGAGAGAGAGAATTTGACAGCGGGATAGGTGAGCCATAGAGAGAGACAGCCTGATAGCTGGGGAAATGAGCCACGGAGAGAGTGAGAGACTGATAGTTGGAAACCAACAGAACTGTGGATGCTGGAAATCAGAAACAAAAACAGAAATTGCTGGAAAAAGTCAGCAGGTCTGGCAGCATCTGTGGAGAGAAATCAGAGTTAATGTTTCAAGTTCAGTGATCCTTCTTCAGAACATGAGGTAGCTGGAGAAGTAAGCCATAAGACAGACAGCCATGTTGTAAAGAAACAGGAGCAATGTCACTGGACCAGTAATTCAGTTGTCCAGGTACTGGTATGGGAATGTCAATTCAATTCATTAATAAATTATAGTAATTAATTAAAATCTGGACATTTGAGTTACCCCATAGTAAAAGCCCACCTGACTCACATGAATTTGCACATTCTCCCAGTGTCTGTGTGGGTTTTCTCCGGGGGCTCTAGTTTCCTCCCACAGTCCAGAGATGTGGAGGCTAGGTAGATTGCCCATAGTGTTCAGGGATGTGTAGATTAGGTGGGTTATAGGGGATGGGTCTGGGTGGGCTGCTCTGAGTGTCAGTGTGAACTTGTTGGGCCAAAGGGCCTGTTTCCACACTGTAATCTGTAATCTATAAGGGATTCTGTAATCTGTGATGTGTCATTTAGGGAAGGTAATCTTCCAGATTACCACTACCTTCTGCAGGCCAATTAGGGCTTGGCATTACATGTTGGCCTTGTTTGCAATCCCACAAACGAAGAAATCAAAATTCAAGGACAGCCCTGAAACAGAGGATTCCTGGCTGGATCTGAGCTGTGCAGTGAGGTCACGCCATTTATGGACATGAAAGTTAAAGAATCTGAGGCCTTGGTTATCCTGGGGGGCTTCAATCACATCATACCTGTCTGTTGGTCTCTTCAGCAGGAAGTCAGGAACTAAGCTCTCTCCAAACTGATCCAATGAGGTGCTAGAGGCAGGAATGATATAACAGCTATACTGCTTGTAACTAATCAGAACTCACTTTTCTGGAACAGGGCAGGTTTCCTGTGGAATATTACATGGATGAGGCCAATCAGGGCAGACTATCCTGTCTGGACCACAACCATACTCACTTTATCCTGGTGGACAATGGCACCCATGGACAATATGGTGTGGAGATACCCCTAAGGGCCCAATTGGAAAAGTACATCTCAAAGCAACGAATGGGAACTGAAGGTAGGGCTTGTCCACCTGTGGTTTTGGGTTAGGCAGCTACATTCGCCATGCATTGAGGGGGCTGTTTAACACTCCATGATTGAAACCTTGACCTAAACCTAACCGGTGTTGTCATTGCACTGGGAGTGTTGCTGAAATAATATAGACAGAATTTAAATCCGAATCTAACCCGAGCATTACCTTTCCTGTAAGTGTTTTATGCAACTGTTTTCTACTATTACTATATTGAGTCCGTTGGTGATACATTCCAGAGAAACCTTTAATCTCAATTTAAATGATGCCCTACCCATACTGGACTGTCAGTAAAACTGTGTAGTGACAGTCATTTAGTCACGGGCTGTCCCTGTCCTGTAAGTGTTTGATGTGAACCGTGTCAAGAGAGATTTAATTTTCCAGCTTAAAAGATTTGAGGCAGCTTTAGTCTGTATCTAACTGTGATGTACCTTTCCAGGGAGTGACTGGGGATGGTGTACAGAGAGCCATCCTTTCAGTTTAAAAGAATAAAGGGAGTTTTACTTCCAGTTTCAAAAGAGTAGAGGAAGCATTATTCTGCATCTAACCCTATGCTCCTGGAAGTGTTTAAAGGGATCAGTGTAGAGGATACTCTATGTCCAGTTTAAAAGAGCAGCGGACATTTACTTTAAGTTTGAAAAGTAGAGAAATTTGTAAGGTCTATCCAACCCCATGCTGTCCTTTCCCAAGAGTGTTTCATGAGTACAGTGTCCAGAGAGCTTTATTTTCAGTTTAAGAGTAGAGGCAGCTTTACTCTGTAGCTAAACCCATTCTATACCTATCCTGGGAGTGTTTGAAGAGGACAATGCAGCTTTACTTTCAGATGAGTGTCAAGAGAGCTTTACTGTCTAATCTATCCCTGTGCTGTACCTGATATGGAAGTGTTTGATGGGTACAGTGTAGAGCAAGCTTTACTTGTATTTAGCCCCATGCTGTACCTGGCCTGCGAGTGTTTGACAGGACAGTGCAGAGTAAGCTTTACGCTTTATCTAACTCCATGCTGTTCCTGTCCTGGGCATACTTGATTGGGACATTGTAGAGACAGAGTTATTCTGTAATAGTCCATGTTAACCTAGTCCTGAGACTGTTTGATGTTTAGATCTCAGGTGAGAATAATGTCTGTCTCAGCTGTGAAGCTTTCCAAAGTCAAATAGCTGAAACTATCTACCCAAACACACATGAGGTGTAGCAATAATGGTCAGGATGCAGAGAAATATGTCAACACTTTTAAAAGAGGAAATGGAGGATAAGTCACAAAAACTGTGATGCTAACTATCGTGTCCGATTCTTCCAGCAATATTGCTTTCAGTGAAACTGTGAGCTACAGCCATAGATTTAAGGTTTTCCTGTCTGGAAGGGAAGAGCGAAGATCAAGAATGAAGGATCAGATTTAGGAATATTGCATTCATCAGGGAGTGTCAGTCACTGAGCATGTATGTTGAGAACTCATGGCCAATGGTGAAGAAGGTATTGTTTTAGAGAACAGAAGAACATGGGGCAGCATGGCGGCTCGGCAGCTCAGTGGTTAGCACTCCTGCCTCACAGCATCAGGGACCCAGGTTCAATTCCACCCTTGGGAGACTGTGTGCGTGGAGTTTGCACATTCTCCCTGTGTCTACATGGGTTTCCGCCTGGTGCTCCAGTTCCCTCCCACAGTCCAAAGATGTGCAGGCTAGGTGGATTGGTCATGCTAAATTGCCCATAGTGCCCAGGTTAGGTTAAGTGGATTAGACATGGGAAATGCAGGGGTAGGGGAATGGGTCTGGGTGGGATGCTCTTCTGAGGGGCAGTATGGACTTGTTGGGCCCCATGGCCTGTTTCCACATTGTAGGGATTCTATGATTGCTGCTGACAAATTCTGACTAATGATTGTTTTGTAGATGTTGGAATTGAAATCCCAATTGTATGTGTTGTCCTTGAAGGAGGCCCAGGAACTCTGAACGTGAGTAAAAAGAATGAGATTCAAACTTATGCTTCTTATCACACCATTCACAAACTCCAGGATGTCCCAAAGATCACAAATAGAATGAAGTACCTTTTGCAGTATATTTACTGCTGCAATGCAGGAATGCAAAAGTATTTTTGCAGAGTAACTTCCCCTTAATATTGGCTGAGACCTGGTCAGTATTCTGTTGGAAATGCTATTGGAAATTTGACTCCACCTGAGAAGATAGATGAGGCCTTTCTTTGATGAATAATCTGAAAGATGGTACATCCAACAGTGTGGCATTCCTTCAGTCCTGCCTGCACCTGACTGTGCAGTGCTCCCTCACTCCTGCAGAGGCCCTCTCGACAGTGTGGTGCTCTCTCAGTCCTGCAGCCCCCTGTCGACAGTGTGGCACTCTTTCAGTTCTGCAGACTGTGCAGTGTGGCGTTGCCTCAGTCCTACTCTCTTTCCAACAGTGTGGTGATCCCCCAGCTCTGCCTGTCCTTAACTGACAGTGCGACACTCCTTTAGTCCTGCCTGTCCACTCTGACATTGCGGTGCTCCCTCAGCACTGAGTCTCTGACCCAGGCCTTTTCCAGCCTGGAGCAGGGTTAGAGGCCTTCCTGGTGAGCCCAGCATCTCTAACAGCTGGTCAAGATGCTGGGAACTCAGGCCTGAAGGAGATCCTTGTGCTCGCCGCTCGCCTTCTCCAGGTCTGTGATGGGTTGCTGCAGTTGGAGAAAGATTAAAGCTGTGACTTCCTCAGCACTTCAGGTCATCATTGATTCCTAGTCGGATTGCCAGATCAGGAACGTAGCCTACCTTAATTACAAGCTGCACTTCATCATTGAAGCATGTCATTTTCCTCCTGAGGGGCTGAACAAGAGACTAATGTAAGGGAGTAGCTTGGAGCAAATGGCCTCCTGTTATGTAAGGACTCCCATGCTTTCTGGTTTAGTAATGGTGATTGTTCTGTTACAGACAATATACAATGCCATGGAAAATGGCACCCCCTGTGTAATAGTGGAGGGTTCAGGACGAGTAGCCGATGTTCTGGCCAATGCAGCTGATTTGCCCGTGGCTCAGATAACCATCTCCTTCATCCAGAAGCAACTGCGTGTATTCTTTGCTGAAACTTACACCAAGTTCTCTGAGCAGGAGATAATCTCGTGGACCAAAAAGGTACGACATCAGAACTCTCCTCAATACCACTGTCACTGTGGCTGCTATCTATGCTGCTACATTCCATTCTGGATTTCAATGAAAAGCCTCTTGGAGGTCACCTTCTCAGATAATAGGATTGAAAAGCCCTACACATCGCACTCCATTCCCCAGCCCAGTTGTTTTTTCAAAAACCCCCATTGAATGTGTCCCACGTGACTTGTATTGAATTCACCCGCACTGACTGCCCCTGGTTCTGCCATGCATTTCTAAATACTCACTAATTCAATCTAGAATTGAAGATTTTAAGAAACTTCCCACAAATGACTTAGATGAACTGTCTATAGATATTGCTGAAAAAAGACTCAATTTAAGGGGAAAACACCAATATTTATACTATTTAAATTGACATTCTTGTCAATTGCCCAGATGGGTGTAAGATACAAAGCTTTCATGAAAAGTTTACTTTTTTTTAAGCAATACTCAAGTCTGTACTTCCAAATAACTACTTATTGAAACTTTAATTTGTCAATAGTCTTTCTCTCCAGTCAAAAGTATTTACGCCCCAGTTACTCGGCATAATTCTCTTGTTTAAGGGCTGTTGACAAAGTTCAATCGTATATTATGTTATCTTCTGTTGAACTATAGGGCCTTTACATGCCAGAATGAGACCAATCTGTCCATCATGTTTGTGTCAGCATCCTGAAACTGCTATTTTTTAGCAGTTGTTATTTATTAGCTGATGGACTGGACCAGGCTGCATCACAGAGGTCCTCGCTTGCTCTCGTAACCTTAATTTACTCTGAGCCAACTAGGATGCTCACAGCATCCATACCTTTTCTTGCCCTTTTGTGCTTTGCCTCCTCAGCTAGGCATACCAGGCTCAAGGTACTGCTGACTTGTCTTGCTGTTTAGCACAGACACAAAACTAGGAAGCTTGACATTGTTTTCAGTAGGCCTCAGTCAAATTAACGGGTTGGCCTTTGATCAGTGGGGTCCAGCATAGTAGCAGTCCCTGATACCAGTCCAGAGGTTTGGATTCAGGATTGTCTCCCCATAAGAGGTACAGAGCTGAATGTCAAGCAGCCCACCTTCCATCTTGACCATTTCTGCTCGAGTGGTAGCTGTTTTCCTCCTGACAGGCAGGTATTACAGGAGATTTTGGCAATGGGTAGCACGGCTATTACTGTAGTTGCAGATTAGCAGCTATTCTGAGCAAGTGAATAGGCAACATAGAGTATATGCAGCGTTAGTTGTGTCAGGGGATGAGTGAGAGCAAGTGATATAATATGTTGCAGGTAGTAGTGAAAGTGGTAGAGCATGAGCCTTGGAGGGAGGTCGGTAAAGTAGCAGAGATGGACCGAGTGTGAGGTTTTAGAGGGATGGCAGTGGCACTGACCCAGGCAGAATAGAGAAGGTCATTAACCTTCTTTCTGCAGTGCTAGGCATTTCTCCAGATGTCTGAGACTACACTGACCTGTGTAGCATCCTTATACCAGGCTGGTATGGTCTGGTGTCATGGCCTCTAATGCTGCTACAAGGGGAGGAGGAAGTGCTGTCTCTGCACCATTGCTTCCAGCTGGATATTCAGGAACCTACCCATAAAACAGGCACCAATTTTCCCCCATCTGTGATGCTTGACAGGATGCAGAGCTGGGCAAAGAAATGGCAGATGGAATTCAACCCAGAAAAGTGTGAAGTGATTCATTTTGGAAGGTCGAATTTGAATGCAGAATATAGGGTTAATGGCAGAATTATCGGCAGTGTGGAGGAACAGAGGGATCTTGGGGTTCACGTCCATAGATCCCTCAAAGTTGCTACCCAAGTTGATAGGGTTATAAAGAAGGCGTTTGGTGTGTTTGCTTTCATTGGCAGGGGAATTGGGTTTAAAAGCCGTGAGGTTATGCTGCAGCTCTATAAAACTCTAGTTAGACCACACTTGGAATATTGTGTTCAGTTCTGGTCACCTCATTACAGGAAAGATGTGGAAGCTTTAGAGAGGGTGCAGAGGCGATTTACCAGGATGCTGCCTGGACTGGAGGGCAGGTCTTATGAGGAAAGGTTGAGGGAGCTAGGGCTTTCTTCATTGGAGCGAAGAAGGATGAGAAGTGACTTGATAGAGGTTGACAAGATGATGAGAGGCATAGATAGGGTGGATAGCTACAGACTTTTTCCCAGGGCGGAAATGACTATTACGAGGGGGCATAATTTTAAGGTGTTTGGAGGAAGGTATAGGGGAGATGTCAGAGGTAGGCTCTTCACACAGAGAGTGGTGGGCGTGTGGAATGCACTGCCAGCAGTGGTAGTGGAGTCAGATACTTTAGAGACTTTTAAGTGAGTCTTGGATAGGCACATGGAGGATAGTAAAATGTAGGGTATGCAGGGTAGATTGATCTTAGTAGGATAATAGGTTGGCACAACATTGTGGGCCGAAGGGCCTGTACTGTGCTGTTCTGTTCTATGTTCTATGTTTATTCTGTTTGAGGCAAATGTCAGGAACTGAGCAGACAGTTCTAGACTGACAGTGCTTCGCCATGTGCACAACAGGCTTCCAAAGACGGCACCAGCAGCAGGGATGCCATTCAATTCCCGAATTCCTTCTGAGTGGTGGGGTGCTCCAGGAAATGCATGTGGTAAGTTGGGGTGGATGTAGGGTATGATTCTGACCAGAAGGACTCAAATGGCAATTAATGTGATAAGTTTGGTAAGATATAGTGAGAAAACTCGCTCAGCCTTGTTCACCAAACTCAACACCGCATGACCTTGGCCAGAGAAAATGGTGAGATTCTCCCCTTGTCTACTTGATCCCTTTGTACTCACAGTTCCTTCATCAGTATCATCAGTCTGATGAGCCCTTGTTGGACTCAGGTAACTAAAACCTTCCTTGAGTAAGGAGACCAAAAATAGATATCATATTCCAGGCACACACTCACCAAGGAGGATAGAATTGTACTCAAGCCTCTTTTGCCAACATTCCAAACTTTCTGTACCAAAACTAAACATAGAATCAGCTTTCCCAATTACTTGTGAGCACAATAATGTTGAGGGATTCATGTACAAAGACAAATAATTCTCTCTGCATGCCAGAACTTCTCAGACTTTCACCATTTTAGAATTATTCCTCTTTCCCACACCAAAGTTAATGTCCTTGTACTTCTACACATGATATTCCATCTGCAACTTTATTGCCCAGTTAGTTAATGTACTTGAGTCTTTTTGCAGCCTTTTTCCTTCTTCCTCTGAGCCTGCCTTCCTACTCAACTTGTATCATCATTGTCCTTGGATTACACTTCGTTCCCTCATCCATTACATCAAAATTATACTCGTGACACAAGTAATAAACATTTAGGTTTTGCTAAATGCAGCCTGCTAACCTAATCTGTTTATTCCCATTCTTTGTTTTCTATCATAAATCCTTAATCCTTGCCCATGAATCCTTATTTTGTACAATAACTCTTCTGTGGTGTCTGATTGAATGGGTTTAGAAGTCCAGATCAGTACATCCACTGGTTTCTCTTCATCTACCCTGCTCATTTTAATCGGAAAAGGCAGTTCAGATTTTAACAGATTTGTCAAACAGTTTTCTTTCCACAAATCTGTGTTGCTGCTATTGAAGCAAATGGTTTTCTGAGTGCCCATCCATCATACAATCATGCAAAATGAAAGAGGCTCTTCAGCCCATCACGTTTGTACTGTCAAAGCTACATTAAATATTAGATAGCTCCGCCTTCCAGCACCAGGCCAATGCTTCAAATGTTATGACATTGTGTCACTAACAATAGATTAAGGGTTAATGGGTGTGTTACTACTGGAGGGAGCAGAGAGTGTACACGCGCTGAAACACAGGGTTAATATTATAGCTATTGTTAAAACTAATGAGTAAGAGCACACACACGCATACTCAGACACCCACTCAGAGACTCACTGTCACATTTTGTCTCTCTTTCACAAGTGTACCATGCAGACAGACATACATAGGGTCAAAAATCACATGACATCAGGTTATAGTCGAACAGATTTATTTGAAGACACAAGGTTTTGGAGTCTCCCTCCTTCCTCAGATGTCATGGATAGCCCCGACATACACTCCTCTCAGGACCCACGTATTTATTCACATGAGATATTGCCTGTCCCACTGGGTGGACAACATCAACCATCCTGACTGATACTGGGAATAGAGTCATGGTACTTGTAAGGACAGAGTATCAGATTAATAAAAGCAAGCATTTCTCTGCAAACAAGCAGTTTTCACCACCCAATTTCCAGCCTTTCTCTTAATCTTAATCACAGCAGTGTGACATCTGTGCGCTCCTCTTGTCAGTGGTGGACATCTTTTCTAGTCATTTGACATTGGCAGCACATACTCCATGATAGAGTTTTCCTTCCTAATGATGTCAGGCTAACTGGCCTGTTGTTCTCTCTTTTTTCTCTCTCAATCTCTCTCTCTCCCTCTCTCTCTCTGCCCCTTCTCATCTATTGTGTGATTACGTTTGCCATCTACCAATCTACAGGAGCTATTGTAGAACCTGAGAAACACTTGGGAGTTCAAAGCCAATGTGTGTTATTTCTCCATGTTGTCATTTGACAGTCAAAGCAGAGCCCACTTATCCACCTTGGATTTTGCAAAATGATTTCAAACAAATTTCTTCTGTCCAGTTACCTCAGACAGTTGTTTCAAATCATCTAGCTGTATGTCCAGATTCTCACTTCCATCATCATTGTAAAAGCTGATGTCAAGTTTTTTAAAAATAATTTCAGCATACATCCATAACTCACAAGTTCCCCATGAAAGACTTTTTTCACCTTTTAAAGACGTCTCTATATTATCTACATTTTCACTTTCCTTTTGAACTTTATCTTTCTCTCTTTGTGCCTCCCACTCACATTTTCAATAATCCACCAGGATATTCTTTGCAATTGTTCACTGTTTGGCTAACTTTTAAGTCATTCTTTCATTTAGATATTTGGAGGTATTCTCTGCAAATGCCCCTTTGCGTGCTGTACAAATGCTGTTCTGTTTTGTTGATTACATTTGATATTTGAAGGCTATTGAGTACAGATCTGAACTAAATAGTCATATCTCCCATTATTGAGAGGTTAGGCCCAATTGCCAGAGGAGGACATGGGGGTATGACACACTCACAATTGCTGGATGTGGGTGATTTATACAAACAAGTGACAGAGAACTCCTCCTGCTCCTGCTTCTTCAAAATAAGACCATAAAATGTAAGATATTTAGACCCTCGAGTCTGCTTTGCCATTCAATGTGATCATGGCTGACCTGCTAATCCTCATTTTCACTTTCCTGATTTTTTCCTGTAACCCTTGATCCCCTTACTGATTAAAAATCTGTCTGTCTCGGCTTTGAATCCAGTTATTGACCCAGCCTCAACTGCCCCGTGCTCTAAGAATTTCATAGATTCACTACCCTCTTAGAGAAGAAAGTCCTCCTCATAAAAACCGAAAGAATTGCAGATGCTGTAAATCAGAAACAAAAACAGAAACTCCTGGAACAGCTCAGCAGGTCTGGCAGCATCTATGAAGAGAAATCAGAGTTCATGTCTTGGCTCCAATAACCCTTCCACAGACCATTCCTTACCTTTGTCTTAAATGTGCGACCTCTTGTCCTGAGATTATGCAGTCTGGTCCTACACTCTCCCGCTATTGTTCCAACCCTGATCCCCACACCAACATTTTTTTTCCAAAAATAGACACTACTCTTAAAATGTATAACCAAGAAAGATTACAAGATCATTTTGACCTGAATATTACATACTTGCAAGAAAGTTCAACTTGTTCTCAGGGCAAGCTGTACCACTCGATTCGATTGATACAGCTTTTTTATATAAACAAATTACATTATGTCAGGTGGACAGCTCGAGGGCAAAGCATTACAAATTGGAAAATGCAATTGATATAAAGTTCTCAAAGCATCATGTTTCACTCTGATGTGCCATTTCCAATACTCTTGAAGACTCAGTAGTTCTGCCGGTTGTCATCACGGGGATGTTTACGTAGCTCCTGTCCCAGTTGAATAATCTCTCCTTATTTCATAGAATTGTGCACCGACCCTCTAAAGGGCATCCCATTGAAACTCACTGCACACCCCATCCCTGTAATTGCACGTGGCGTTTTTACTATGGCTAACCCAGCTAAACTGCACATCACTGAACACTACAGGCAACTTGTTTTTAGTGTGGCCAATCCATGTAATCTGGAGAACACTGAGAGAACATGCAAACTGTACAGTCAGTTACCCAAGGCTGGAATCGAACCTGTGTCCCTCAAACTGTGCCAATGTGCCTCCTCTCTGAACCCATACTTGTATCTCTGTACTGCAAACCTCTGTCTTTTCAACTGGGTTTCCCTTTGAGCTGCCAGGATCTGAGCAGATATACGTGTGTTACTGATGAACATAGCTGTCAAATGAGTAAATGGCTGCTTGTCCTCACTCCTCAGATCCAGGACATTGTTAGGATGCGGGAGCAGCTGACTGTTTTCCGGGCAGAGAAATCGAGGAATGATGAGTTGGATGTTGCTATTCTGGAGGCCTTGCTGAAAGGTGGGTTTGAATAGGTCTGGAATGTCAGAATGGTAGGGGCTGGATTATCTGGCATTTTCATGCTGGACCTTAATCTTGGGCTCCTGATACAGCCCTAAGTGACACCAGAGAGACAACAGACTAGATGCCCCTTAGCAAGCATTTTGACAAGGTCTCACATGGTAGACTGGCCAGAACAGGAACCAAGCCTGTTGTATCCAATCCTGGCAGAGGCTAACCACTGTTTGAGTGACTGGATATTTGCAGAAGATTCTCATTCCATCCACAAACATCCCCCAGTTGTGGAACTCAGAAAACACATTCAAATATCATCTCCAATTGAGGTGATTTGGAAAAGCTGTAATTTCTAGGTTCACAGAGAATTGGGGCACAAAGGGAAAACATTAAGCTAAGGTTAAATGGTTTATGGTGCATTCAGCCAAGATTCAGACTCAACAATCAGAAGTTTTTGGTTGAAGACTGATCCTGGACTTAGCGTTTATTATTTATTGATGGCATATGGGCACTATTGGCTGGGCCAGCATTCATTCCCCATCCCTAAGTCCTGGAGGATGATCCAGAGACAAATCTATTGCTATGTGTCTGGAGTCGCATGTAGGCCAGATAGGGCAAGTCTGGCAGATTTCCTTCCCTAAAGGACACACGTGAACAAAATGAAATTTTATGACAATCAACAATGGCCATCGTTACACTGGCTTTTGTTATATTCTACTGTTCTTTTAAATCAAATATAGATTTCACCATCTGCCATGACGGGATCTGAATCCACATTCCCAGCATATGAAACAAAGACAGAATGCTGGAGAAACTCAGCAAGTCTGGCAAGATCTTTGAAGAGAGAAAGTAAAGTTATCATTTTGAGTTCAGTGACCCTTCTTCAGAAACTCAGTAGATCTGGCAGCATCTGTGAGGAGGGAAGCAGAACCCATTCAGTTCTGAAGAAGGGTCACTGGACTCAAAATGATAACATTACTTTCTCTCTTCATAGATCTTGCCAGACTTGCTGAGTTTCTCCAGCAATTTCTGTTTTTGTTTTGACGTTTGTTGTGCATCTTTGTTTTATTCCCAGAATCTAATCTTAGTGTTCTACATTACTAGCTCAGTGACATTAGCACCACACCACAGTCTGTTTGCATAGCATCAGTCACATACATTAAAAATGAACTGTTTCCCTTCTGTCTGGTGTCGCAGCATCTAGTTCCTGTGGGCACAAAGGCCAGGAGAACCTGGATCACCAATTGAAGCTGGCTGTGGCCTGGGACAGGGTGGACATTGCCAAAAGCACCATTTTCACCGATGACAAACATTGGAAGGTGAGTCACACTGTGCTTGGTGCAATATTCATGCTTTATTTCAGGTTAACTTTCTTCTTTCTTGCAAATCCCGCACCATGAGCTGCCAAACCAATAGCATGGACAGAAAAAGAGTCAGAAATGCTTTCTTTTGGCCTTATGTGAAGTGGCCAGAACGTAAACCAAAATGTCAGCCATTGTATGCTAATACTCTCAGGCAATGCACAGTTTGTCATCCCTGGCAACCTCATTCACTCAGTAATGAAAATGTGACAGGATTGAGAATTTCTTGCCCTTTGGGAATCTGACACTGGGACCAAACAGGTGCTATGCCCCACTTGGCACCAGTGAGATTGGCACTGAAGTGTTCCCAGAGGCAGGCATCCATTGAGTGATCTCTTCACTCATGGTCATGTTCCTGTGGCCCATATTATCGAGAATATAAAAATAGGGAGTAAAATCAAACAAAGAAATGTCGTGCTTGACGTTGCTGGAGAAACTTTACAGGTCTGGCAGCATCTGCACAGAAAGAAAGCAGAGAGAAAATGTTTTAAGTCCAGTGACTCTTCTTTAGAGCGGCTCTGAAGATCAGTCATACTGGATTTGAAATGCTAACTCTGCTTTTCGTCTAGATGCTATCAAACCTGCTGATTCCAGCTGATTCTGTGCATCTAGACCAAAAGTAGAGTTAGCTCTAAAGAAGAATCACTGGACTTAAAACATTTTCTCTCTGCTTTCTCTCTGTGCAGATGCTGCCAGACCTGCTAAGTTTCTCCAACAACTTCTGTTCTTGCATAAAAGTAGGGAGATTTGCTGAACTATATAGGGCAGTAGTGAGACCACAGCTGGACTACTGTGAACAACTTTGGGCCCTTTACCTGTCAAGGTGTTGGACTCGAAATCCAACAGGATCTTCCCAAATGTGTTCAAATCGTATTCATGGCATAGAACAATGAACAGTACAGCACAGGTTCTTCAGCCCACGATGTTGTGCCGAATATGACACCAAGTTAAACTAATCCCTTTTGCCTGCCCATGGTCCATATCCTTCCACTCCTTCTTGATTCATGTTGTTGTTTAGTTCCTCCTTAAACAATACCAAAGCGGTCAAATCAATACGAATACGCACCAGTCCCAACTTTATTAGGAACAAAATTACAACCTTCAATACTAAACGTACTGTTTCTAATCCTATTTGGCCTCTTAAGGTTACAATATTTCCTGAGTCTCTTGTATATTTATGCAGTTGCTCTCTCTCTCTGGGTCTGTGAAGCTGCTTTCTTCATCTCTCTCTCTCTCTCTCTCTATCTCTCTCTGAATGGTCAACTATTCTCTGCGTCTTGCCATGTTGGTGTCCTCAGAAGGCCTCAGCCAATTCTAACAGTCTGCTGGTGAACCCTGCTTTTATACCTTTGAGAAGACTTTCTGGGACTTTCAATAGTTCTGGCCAATCAGGGAGATACTCTTAATAGTTTGAAACAGAGTCAATCATTTCAATGGCATGCTACTGTTAGTTTCTTTGTGTAGCGGCACTTGGTGCCTTTCTGTCTGAGCCCTCCTTCATTTAGTGAATAAGTTGCTAGGGATATGTCTGTCCAGGATAACTGATGCCTTTTGTATTATGCTAATATCATTACCACCTGGTTGCTGTGCTTGCACTGTGTCTGGTGTGTGGGTTTTGTGATTTCAGAGTTTCACTTGGCCAATGTACCCAGCACCCTTGCTGTTTGGCCAAGTTAGCAATCTATCTGTGTTTTAGCAGCTACAATGTGCTTATCTAAAAGCCACTTAATATGCCCCGATTGTATCTGCCTCCACCACTACCCTGGCAATGCGTTCCAAGCACCTACCACTCTCTGTGGAAATAAAACTTGCCTCTCACATCTCCTTTGAAGATTCCCCCTCTTAAATGCATGCTTCCAGTATTAGACATTTCAACTCTAGGAAAAATATTCTGACTGTCAACCTTACCTATGCCTCTCATAATTTTATAAACTTCTATCAGGTCTCCCCTCAGCCTCTGCTGCTCCAGAATAGACAACTCTGGTTTGTCCAGCCTCTCCTTATAGCTCATACCCTCGAATCCAGGCAACATCTTGGTAAACCTTTTCTGCACCCTCTCCAAAGCCAAAGATGATGCAGGTTTTCTTGATCCTTCTTGTGGTGCAGTGGTAGCATCCCTACCCCTTTCACACAGGACCTGTGTTCAAGTCCCACCTGGTCCAGATGTGTGTAATAACATCTCTGACCAGGTTGATTAGGAAAAATAGGTTGTTTTTTAAAAAAACAAAAGGTACACTGCCATTGGAAGAGACCAGAGAAGATTCTTTAGGCTGATAATGGGAATGTCTTATGAAGAGAGGTGTCCACTGTGCTACCACACGGAGAGTGGAATATGTGGGAGGGGACAGCCTGTCCAACTCACCCAGTTTCCTGATGCTTAGTCACCAATCAGATGCTGAGGACCTTTGAGCAAGTTAGTCTCCACCCTACTCCCACGGGCACAACTGTAAACCTGAGCACATTTCACTTATGGTGTTTTCCTATATGGTGAGCCCCTTTGTTCACTATTACAGCTGGACCAGCCATGGTGGGCATGAATTGGTCATGTGAGGGTCTGGTTGGCAGGGGGGTTGGGGAGTACTGAACACAAGTGTATTAATTTAGATGAAGTGGTGGTGGCAGGATTCAATTCCCTTCCTTCCTAGTGATTAAAATCCCCGCTTCCACTAAACATCCCACTGGGAGGGCCTCCATTTCCACTTTCAATTTTTAGGTTTGTTTTGTTTCCCCAAAATCAATCCACAGCACCTTATCTTCCTCTTTATCTACTCATTTATATTTTTCTTGACCGCAGTCTCTGGCTGTTCAGCCTTAACGCTGCCGTTAATTTTGTAACATCCTTGTTCCTGGCACTAGGGAATCAAGAAACCCATCCTGGAGTCAAGTTTGCAGTCACACCAACAACTGTCTATTCCCTTAACTATTGTTTTTCTGATCAACCCCCTCCCCATCGCGTGCAGTTCAATTATCATTTGTGCCATATGCTTGGCTCTGACTGATATCGCCATAAAAACCTCTCTTCAGTATTGCGTATTAGTTAGTCAACAAAGGATATTTGGGGAATTGAGGATTCCACTCGTAAAAGGAGCAAGAACATGATGGTACACTTTTTTAAATATATAAACAGTGTGCAGGGATATGGGGAAATGGCAGGAGATTGGCAGTTGAGAAAATAAACAGTGCAGTCACGATGGCCTAAACAACATCCTTCTGCACCATAACAATTCTATGATAACAAAAACAAAGTTGCTGGAAAAGCTCAGCAGG